CCAGCTCTTAGTCAAGTCGACGCAAAAGAACTGCATATGGTTAGAAGCATACCCGTTCAACCGGGCATTGACGTTAGCGCGCTCGACGGCCGCATCAACAAGCTCAAACCCCACAACAGCTTTGGCATACGACCCCACACAAATTCCAATGCTACCGACGCCACAAAAGAGGTCCCATACCACGGGTTTCTCTGGAAGCAATGCCATCATGTGCTGAATCTCGCGATAAAGAACGCCTGCCTGTGCTGAGTTCGGCTGAAAGAAAGACCCGAGAGATATCTTGAAGTTGTGGTCCAAAATTGTGTCTTCTAGATGCGAGTCGCCATAGAGAATGCGTTCGCGGGCGATGCCTGCGGTAAGATTATCGGTTGTACTGTTTCTCTTGCAAGAATGACGCTGAGCTTCGCAATCGAGACTTTCCACGACGGATACGAGTCGTGTAGCATCGCCAGTTTCAGCTGGAAGATCATTCTTACAGTCTTCAACAATGCTCTGCACAATGCCCTTCAGCAGTTCGCTTTGTTCCCCATCAAATGTTGTAGTGACAAGTCCTAGCATAATTTCTGTATGACTCTCACGGTTTACACCGCGGCGCAATACAATTTGTTTAAGAAAACCTTTGTGTGTGCTAAAGTCATACGCCTCTAGACCTGCGCTCTCACATCTCGTCACTAGCTGCTGGAGCAAACGGTTGCAAGCTGAATGCTGCAGCAAACATTCCTTTAGCGACAAGATCCTGGGGCTCCACGCAGTAGCACAACGTCGACGTGCTTTAATTTTGCTACGAACTTGCTTTGACCGTCGAGTATTGACCGAAGATACGGGAAACATTCCAACTGTAAACGGATAGCAAGAAGAAGCTGCAGCAGAATTGCCATGGTCTGAAAACTTGTCTTCGTCCAACAACCAACGACCTGCACTGCACGTAAACTCCATCTTGTTACGGTAATGGTAAGTTCCAATATGTTCTCCATCAGTCTCGACACCTCGAATTTCACGGATTTCCATGTCTGGCGAATGCTCCCTCAAAGCAAAGAGTTGATGGATCCATTTTTCTTTTTCTACAAGTTGATGGGCATAACTTACATGCTGCAGTTTACAACCACCACATATACCAAAGTATTTGCTGCACCGAGGATGTTCTCGATGATTACTGGGCTTCCAGACATGACATTGTTGTCCAAATAGTGGCCATGTGCTCTGAGATTTATGAGCAGCCCATTTTACTCTCGATTGGACATCACGGTCCCAAATTTCAACCTCAAGCTCATCGCCTGGAGCTGTAAATGGCACCATCACTTGTATCTTTAGACCTTCTTCAGTAATGTACGTACCAACACCATCGCCTTGGTCATTTATCTTGTCGATTGACTGTAAATGATTGCAACGGAAGATGGTTAATAGTGACACTAAACGGTTGCAAACATATAACATTTGTACTAAAACACACTAGAGGAATCAAGCGCTTGCCATTCGACTCAACTGAGTTTGTAGTCGGTCTTGCAATGGAAAATAGACGAGAGACGCAGTTTGTGCCTTGGCGAGGTAGATGAATCGTCCATTGCCGCATGTGCTCTAGCATCCGAACCAGTCTATGGAGGAGCTTGACAGAATATTAACCAATCAAAGCATGAGATGGCGATGTGCAAATCATGTATAGAGGCCTGTATATTATCGATATGCCGTAAATCAAAGTGTCAAATATGGCGCTCTCTATCTTACCACTTTATTTTTTGGCACCGTAAAACATGTGAAAAACTTGCATCTGTTAGTGTCACACGCTGTAATTTACTGCATCGTCGTGGAATGTCATTTATATTAAAGTTACACACGTCCCATTCGACTTCATGAGGACGATTCTTGATGACAAATTGCAGCGAGCAATGCCGGATGACTGAGCACTTGCGCCATATTCTGCAGACGTTTTATGGGATCAAATTCCAGCATCTTGGATAACAAATTCATAACAGAAGTGGAGAGCTGAGTGTCCATTCCCCACGACCTAATGACACCGCAACAGCCCATGGTCTTGATCGTCTCAAACTCGGGATTATCAGGTGACGCAAACTCGAGCAGTGGGGCTCCAGTCAGCAGCATGAAGAGTAGAATCCCCAGCGACCAGACGTCTGCAGTCACGGGATCATAGCTTGTCTCCACAACAACCTCTGGAGCCACATACTGCGTCTTGCCCACGCACCCACTCGCTCTCGTGTCTGCTCGGGTGCTGAGTCCAAAGTCGCCAATCTTGTAGACCTCGTCGTGAGTCACAAAGACGTTCTCGAGCGACACGTCACGGTGTGCAATATTGCACGTCTCGTGTAGAAACTGGAGGCCTCTCGCCAGATGCGATACAATACGCAGTGCGTGCTGTTGGTCAAGGCGACTTTCAGGCTGTGTAGCCATTAGATCAGTCAATAAATCACCGCGCGTGCAGTGTTCCATGACAATAAATACATGCGAGTTTCGCACAAACGTGTCAAAGACTTGTACGACGTTTGGGTGGCGTTCAGCAATGCTGCGCAATTGTCGCGTCGCCTGCCACTCTTTCCACGGGCCTTGAAGGCGGCCAGTCGCGTTATCTCGCTGTAATTGACCAGAATGCTTGACCACCACCGCTTTTGAAGTAGAGTTGGTGCTACTAGTGCAGTAAATATGCCCTAGGTAGATCTGTGGTGCAAGACGTGAGCTGACCTTGATGTGACGATGCATATTGGTACAGCTACTGCTAGAGCTCTGTGCTTTAGTGTTTGTATCACCTTTATGATTATGTTCATAGATTAATGTAGTTGTCATGAATGAATAAAAAAAAACAGCGTAATTTGTTACAATGGAAAGGTGGAAAGTCCTCGAGTGTCGTTGGGTGGTCCTCGACAGATATAGAGTCAAGTTGAAGTAGGGACGTCTAAGACGCAGTTATTTTTGCCACGTCGCATGTTGTCATGTAGATTCTATATACGAATCAAAAGCAAACACGTCGCCTGCGTAGGCAGTGTTATAGCCTGGACAAATCGTTTTGGTCGTGCCTACTGCAGCTGTGACATGCACATCATCTATTTAATATCATCAAGTGTTGGAGTACAAAGTTATCGATATGAACCACTGCATCAATTTGTCAGTGTGAGAATTCGCAAGAAGAAAGAGTTCGTAATCTCTCATGACACGCCATCATAAATGTACTTCAACTTGAGGGTTGTCCGAAGGAAGATCTACTGGTTTCAAACTACCCACGTGGTTATTGCCTAGAATAGTCTACAAAGGCAAAGCTTGCCGTCGGCATTGTTCCCACTACTCTTGTTGATGTGCAAATTGTGCGTCATGCGGTCGTAAAAAAGAGCTTCAGCTGCTTTCCTGTGCTAATAGCTGTAATAGTTCTTTGTGGTGCAGAAGCATCGGCGGCGAATGACACGTCTCTGTCGCTTTAGTGTCAATAGCTGTCATCTCGCCTGTCACATCAAATACGACGATGACGCTGCAGCGTGGACGCAAGGACATAACCAAAAGTATTGAATTGATTGCACTTATACGTAGTCTTTTTTTTAATAGAGCTACCCACGAGATCACCACAAAGCGAATGCGTAATGATCTCTCTCATTTTAATGCCAGCGCTCGCCTTACAAAAGCACTTGAGATCGTGTCATCATTTACCTGCTAATCCCACGTACCTGATGGGCGTAATCGCATCAGACGATCCATTGATATTAGTCACACGTTATCATATAGCATAGTCCTTACTCAACTTCAACAGCCAGTCGTTGCTATAGATTAGCTAAATGACTAGAAACATTAAAGAATCCCGGCCATGACAATAGCCGCCTGACATTCGGGCAGCCAAGTGCGTTGGCACGGTGTAATTTAGGTCCTCCTAACTGAATCAATTGCATCCTTGGCCCATCCGTGACAAGATATTAGCATTTTACCATCTAGTACAGCTCTCGAGCAATGCCTCTGGTCGATTCTATCATAATTGCTCGTGTGGTGCGTCGTTGACGACGACGACTAGGAGACTTGGATCTATAATGAAAAAAAGTTAGACAGCTCGGATGCTTAAAGCCACACACATTGACCTGTCAGTCCACGCTGGACAGTAAGTTATCTCAGAGTCTTGAGACTGCAATCTCTTGCTAAGGTGCTACAAAAGCTTTTGATAAGGTTAGTCGGTAGCTATGTGCGGTATCTGACCTCACCACTTACAACGAGCACAGTGATCGTCAGCTTATATTCACTTGTCGAACTAGAGAGAAAAAAGTTGTCGGTGCTAGAAGGTTGAGTGTAAAGAGGTTAATTTAGAGATCCTAAGTTCGCAAACTTGCTACGTCTAAGCTTTCTGCCTTCCTCTGATATTCACACGCTAGCCTAGACGTCTCCACTTGACTGCTACTTCCATTTGCAATGTCTTGGATAAATGTAGATACGAGATGCTTTAGTCGTTGGTAACAAGCAAAAGTTCTACACCAGCATCTTCTCGGTGTCGCACATCTTGTAAAGGCTTGTTGCTAACACGTCCAGCGCTCTCAATCTGCGGCCAACGTGGAATGATAAGGCGTCTTTCAAGATGTTCTTCAATTCGGCTTGGTGCCCCTCCATTTGGAATCAATCCCTCTCTTCAAGCACAAAAGTGATGAGATGATTTGTGCTGCAGTGTATAAGCTCGTCAGACTGCTACTAGCTAATGATACTTGCTCGACATAAGTTTTGCTTTCAGAGCAAAGGCTACCTGCTTTGTTGCTGATGAAAGCTGCCTAGCTCTACTTTGCAGCTCTACGGAAATCGTTTTCGGTATCAAAGCTTCTTAGCACGCATTTCGCCGACCAAGAAACAAGAAGTTCTCAATATCGCTCGGCTCTAGACTTGACTACACTGTCGGAATATACACAATCTCTTCTGCAGACATGGTCCCAGGCTCGGCGCGTTCTCGTCATCCTCCTCATCTTCGTCTCATACAAATATGTATCGGAACCATGCGCATGCGTCAGTTTCGTCTCCAGTTGAACGTTCATTGTTTATTGTGTGTTCTAGATTCCTTGGTTGCAATGAGCATGATACCAATTGCAACATTAGACGGCACCTACATAGGTAACAACTTGACTGTTTTGCAACGCACCGGTGCTTGCAGTAGATCATTACTACGCCTGCACCACCAACCAAGCTTGGTGCTTATACACCCGACGCGTATCGACCAAACGTCGTTCGTCCGCAATTTCGTACGTGGCACTGTGACCATAGGCATCATGGCAGTGACGTTTCTCGGTCTTCGCAACGTTTTGGGCCTCGCATTCTGGAAATCGAAGTCGCGATGAATCTCTAAACTCGATGTCCGACCGACTTATTGGCACGATGAATGACCCTACAGGATGGCAACGCTGCAAGAAAAAGTTGAAGAGGTTAAGGAGGTTTGCTAAATCGCGAGGGAAATCGAAGTAAGACGATGTTGAAAAACGAGTGTCGCTCGAAGTTATTCGGCATATGAATACAGAAATATCCTACACGTCGTGGTTAGAGTCTTTCTTCGCGCTGGGAGTCCTCCATCCTGTCGATCTACAAGTTTGACGTCGAAAAAGACATACCAGTGTTTCCATGTTATGTCAGCTTTCTAGGAGAAATGCAATACATCTCACGAAGAGGACCAAGTGCATGTGTAAGATACGCTACCCAATCAAGTTCTTCCTGCAGTGCAGCCTGAACACACTTAGATAGATTCGCGACTTCTTGCTGGAGCACCTGGAGCTCATGCTCAATGGATTCCACGGACCGTTTTTCATATTCTTTGAGTTGAGCTTCAATGTGAAGTAACCGACAGAGCTCTGACTGGAGTTCCTCAAGCTGGTGTTGTTGATAAGATACGTCCATCTATATTGCAAATGAGGCAAGCAAAAAGCGAGTGATTTCACGAGTTATGACGAAGACTTGGCTAAACCACGTACGTTGTTACGCTTTGCCTGCTGAAGTGAGGCCGTTAGCACTTGAGCTTTCCGGCGAAGTTCATTACGCTCGGTACCACATATCTCATGCACAACTTTAGCAGTCGAATCACCAAAATTTGTTGGCGAAATGTCTTGCCTTGTTGATTGTGATTCCTTTACCGTGTTTGCTTCCGTAGACAAACCAAGCGCGCTTAAACTACATGCAAGTAGGGGTACAAGAACATAGAGAAAGGATGGCAAGACAAACCAGTATTTGCTTCGGCTATTCAATCAATAAGCGGTAGAAGCAAGAGAGCCGTACGGTGACGACTGAAGTTGATGACTTTCACCTATATCTTGCTCCTGGACTTGAATTTTTTCTTCCGGTTCGTCTGGCTGCGACTCAGTGACTGTATTGCAATTTCTAGCTGCAGTCGCTGTTGTAGACACAGACTTGCTTTTGGAAGTAGCCTTTTTCAACATCTCTTGAATTTCAGGTATTAATAGCATCTCATTTACACTCACTTCGAACAGATCGGTTGGTGTCTTATGCGAAGACATAGCGGGGGAGAAATATAAGAATGTCTGACAGGAGGAATGGATGAAGTCATGTACCTTTGATAGAACTTGTCTGGGACTGAGGTCGATGTTTCTACCAATGTCGCAGTGCTTGAGTGCATTCACATACTACACCTTGTCGCTTCCAAACACAAAAGTCAAATCAAAAACAAAAGTGTTCCTTTCGGTTGAACAATTCGGTTCAGTGACGAATAGTACAACGCAGTTAAGAGCGTTGAAATCAATCAAGTAACTTCAAATGTATTTAGCGACCGGCTCACCACCTACTATCATCATACATTCAAGTTGTTGGCTAAGTTCATGTGGATTCAGGAATCCGACGAAGGTGATCATTTGAAGCACTATCTCGTTTTTTGCGAAGGTGATCACTCATCAGTTCAACCTGCCACGAAAATCAACAATAATCATCAGTTTTTGATTGAAACAAAGCCTTCTTTCATCCAGACGCAACAACATCGAAAAAACAACATGTATCCATTTACCCAGTCGAGTTCTTCTTTCGCGGCATCTTGTATCGTCTTCGTAAGACTAGCGACTTCATTTTCATGCGTTTTTAGCTCAGTCTGAAGTGAGGTGACAGACCGTTGTTGGTATTGCTTCCACTGTGACTCGTATTCATGTAAGTGAGCCAATTCCGATTGAAGTTCCTGAATTTGCATCTTCTGGTGGCGTATTTGTTCCTACAGCTCGAAAAAAACAAGTTTAAGCCGCAGATAAGTTCTGCAAGAATCAACTTTGCAACAAGCAATGAGAATTACGTACCTTTCTCCGTTTACGATATCGACGCGACGCCGTTTGCATTCGTAGCTTTCGTCGAAGTTCGTTAAATTCAGCCGAGTTCATCAAGTGCACACGCTGACCCGTTGGCAATACCTTCGACATTGACGACGATTTCTTTTTCGGACTGAAAACAACTGTTGAACTCCTTGGACTTGACGGCTTTTCTGATGCAAGAGCTGCGATTTGACTCGGCACAGACATCGAAGCTGGCGGTGGGTCCGTTTCAAAAGCAGTCGAAACCTCTCGAGCGTCTCCAGCGTGGATCTGTTGAATAGTAGCATAGCTAACACGATGTTGAGTAAGATATTCAAAGACATCAGCAACTTATAAAAAGGCATCAAGGGGTTAACCTACGATGGATCAGAGGACACTGGCAATCTTGTTGATGCATCACGAGCCAGCGGCATGAGTGATCTGGGTCTTCGTTTACCCATTACCGAACAATATTCAAGAAAAACGATGAGGTCGATATAAGTTAGACGTTCTTTTGTTACTATCATCAGCATTTGAGTCTATCGTGATCAAAGTTAGCGCACGTAACGACTCAAACTGTTTATGGAATAGATGGCTGCATACATTGGGTCCTGCATCTGTGTCTGCTGGGGTAGGAGGTCTACTGCTGCTGACTCTGCTCTCGGTTGCACGTCCCTCTGCTCTGCTGAAGGTTTTTTTTCGCCACTTGGCTTTTCGTTCTCGGTCGATGTCGTCTTTACTGAATAGGATTTTGGTGCCTCAACGTCATCGGCGCAGGAACAGTCGACGATTTTTTTCATCGCTTCGTTCATAGATTCGTTATTACTTGAGCCATATGCAGAGCTGCGATCAAACTCTGTCCCAAGAGAATCGTGACGGGTATTCCGGTCAGTGCAGCTGTTTGCAGTCGAAGCTGATTGTTCTGGGCTATTGTTGGAACTATCCATCGCCAGAAGTTCCAGAATCTCCTGCATCATGAGTTGATCGTCCGTTCCTAGATCAAAGGGATCTCTTGGTTGTCGCCAAGACATGAGCCGCCTTTGCGAAGGAGAAAAGAAGTGAATACAACTACTTCCTTGCGCTGAAATATGAGACGTGAGAGTTCACGTCCCATAACCGTTGAGCTGCTGTCTTGGTTTTTGATTGTTGCCACTATCCCTGATTCACGCTTGGTCATTCCAGAGAGGCAGTGGACGTTAGGTATACCATTCGTACGTCCTTTCAGTTGAACGACTCACTGCAGAGGACTAGGTAAGGAATTTGTCATCTTGACACCAATCGTAAGCGAACAGCAGTTGTGTTGCTACAATTCAGCAACACATGTCTGGGACTTTCCATCAAACAGCAACGCATGTCTGGGACTTTCCATCAAACAGCAACGCATGTCTGGGACTTTCCACTATACAGCAACGCCATGTCTATGCAGACATTTATCATCACGACCTCTACCGAAGCAGCTCTTGCGGGAGCACAACCGTGAGCATCTTCTTTTGCGTTACCATTTTATCAGTGATTCGGGTCTGGAACAGACAAGCGTGTCACAGATGCAGGCCCTATTCAAAGGAACTGCCGGTCACAACTATTTGCTAAGTTCTCGCCGAATCGTCCTTCACGATGAGCGCATTCGTGCGTATGTATCCGACGATGAGCAAACATCATTGCAACTGGTGATTGAGTCATTGACGAGCCGCGTGCCACAATGCGACTATTGCTGTAGACTGTTATTTACTTTTCGCAGTGTTAAGACGCGAGTCAATGGCAACAGCAAATACCTTCTTCTAGCTGGTATGCTGCCACTGAAGGCTTCTTTCTACACACAAGTCGAACGTAACCTCTTGAGAAAAATTTGAACATTGCGTGACCTCAACTGTATCAATGTGCACCTCGCATCAAATAGATAGATAACACCTTGTTTGCAGCTCTCGAACCTTCCTTCTACTTGTACGGAGTCAGATACATTAGACGCATGAGCAGTCACCATGAAGTCACAATGACAGATACGTTGTCATATTTACAAACGTCAGCAAGTTGCAACAAGTTCACCCAAGATAAAGACCATGAATCCTTTTGTATTGATTGATAAGTTTGTGTTCAACTGTCCCTCCTATCTCATTTGTGGTGGCGGTGGCGGCGGTGGCACCCCCATCATCGCTACTGGTGGTGGTGGATACGTCATCCCCATGCCTAAATTTTGTGGTGGTGGTGGTGGCGGTGGCATCATTCCCATGTCCATCATGTATCCTCCCTGATTAAATTGTCCTGGTATACCTGGTCCCCCTCCTGCTGCGGTAAAAGCAAACATTGTATGAGGTTTTAATTTATTTGGATTCCTCTGTGCTAACAGTCTTTCAGCTTCTGATCCATGGCGTTCATTTTGACTATCTTTCTTGAAGGCATATTGTACCACAACTTGACGATTGCATAAATATTGTCCATGCATGCATTCAATTGCTAAATCAGCTGCTTCAAAGGAATCAAAACTGACAAAACCAAACCCTCTTGATCCTTTTGTCTCTGGATCACGCATGATCTTTGGAGTCTCAATAATGCCACCAAATGCTGAAAATGTATCATACAGTAGCTTTTCATCCACCTCTGGATCTAAATTCCCTAAAAAGAGATTTGCACCCACATCGAGGCTTTTTTTTCTCATTTGAGGCTTTTTTTACTCGAATGACTTTGCCATATAGTTGGATCATATTCAATACTTTGACCGCATATTCCGCACATTCTTCGGAACGAAATTCCACAAACCCGTAATTTTGATGACTACCAGTTACTTTATCACGTGGCATATGGACATTGGAAACACTACCAGCTTGAAGCATTAATTCCCATAATAATTCTTCACTCACACGATCATCCAAGTTACCAACGTAGACAGTTGCATCTTGATTCCGCTGTTCAATGGCGGCTGACATCCTGATAGCAAATGGATGGGTCGATTTACGAGAAAAAGTATGGGGTTTTTATCTATTGTATTGATTGTTGTTTGAATGTGACGAAGAAAACTATCAAAAGTTTCTAGATCTCTGACAATTAACAAGTACGCTTAAAAACGAACTTATCAAAACAAGAATGTAGGTCAATTGATTCTTTGTGCCCATTTTTCCTCCAAATTGAGCAAATTCTTCTTTACACATTCGATAAAACACGATTCATACCGTTCTTACTAGTTTCTTTCCTCATGGAGCTTTACACGCGTATTATAGCTCATGTACGTAAACGATACTTGGTTCATTGATAACAAGATGTATTTGCAATTGTAATACCGTTTACAATGCTTTTAATTCTACAAAATTGACGTCAGGAGACTAAATTTATCAACGTCATTCATATCTTGTATCATGATATAATTCGCATTAGAGTTTGCCCGTGGTAATAGTGGTGCTTATGGGCTATTGGATGGGAGACGGGCTAACGACTTATACAGTAAATGAAGGATTAGTATCAGCTCGAGATACATCGGGATTTTCATGGCGTCACGGAGATGCGCGGGTATTTAATTGGCATCCAGTGCTCATGAGCTTTGGCTTTATCTTTTGCTCAATGCAAGCAGCTCTCGTCTACATTTCACTACCTTTCAGTCATGAAATCAAGAAGGTACAGACGTGTAGTTAGAAGAAAAGGACGAGTTAAAGTGGTTGATTCGATGTGGATATATTGACAAGTGTTTTTGGTGTTTCCATTGTCATTGGATCATGCGTGATACAGCGTATTCACTTGTCGCTCCATGCTTTGGGCTTTATAAGTGCGAGCTTAGGAGCTCTTGCTGTCTTTCGTTTTCACAATGAACATAAGATTAAGAATCTTTACAGTCTTCATAGTTGGTTAGGACTGACGGGGTTGATTCTTTTTGCTACGCATGTACGTCGTACCCATAGTTTGTGTTCCTTTGGCTGTAGTGACGATTGTTTAATTTGTCCTTTTGATGCATCAGTGGCTGAGTAGTTTTGCAGTACTTTTCTATCCTGGAGCAAAGAGGACTGTACGTGCTGCTTTTACACCGTATCACATTGGAATTGGACTGTCCATTCTTGGTCTGGTAGTTGCTACGGTGGAATCGGGTATCTTGGAGAAACTCACGTTCAATGGCAGCTGCAACGTAAATGGCAAGCTGAATGGCGAGGTCGTGCAAGGTTATATGGCGCCGGACTGTTTGACAGGGAACATTATCGGCTTGCTGGTAGCTCTATCACTGGTTGCAGTGGTCGTTACAGTCTGGCACGCGAAACACACGGAGCAGGACGAGCTTGTGAAAGACGAGTTGACGCCGTTGCTACCGGACAGCTCGGGCGAGAAGCAGAATGAGGTCTTACTTTGAAAGACTTAACACGACTGAGTGAGTATGTTCACGTTGATGATCCATCGATAGCGAAGATTATAAGCCGTATCATCACTATTATCCTACAAAAACCTTGATGCCAAGTCCTTGCTCCATATTCTGCAGGGAATTATCCCAATAATGGTGATCGATTGTGGCCATGATGATCAAAAAGACGAAGTGTCATTGCTACAGTTGATGTATATAGGCGATGATCTATGTTGTGACTCGATCTATAACATACCAAATGTCGTCGATCGACCAATTGCATTTTTACATATTGAGACAATGGAACATGAGGACTTTTAGCTGAATATGGGTCAACTGGTATTGGTTTAATTGTGCCACACTGGATCATAAAAGTTTTACTTGTTTATTGTATGCGGTCACTGATTTGTAATAACTATTGTATCTGTCAAAATAAGTGTAGCCATCTTTTGCTTCGTTCTGACAAAATTGCTTGAAGGAACACGTTTTGAGTAAGTGAGCTGATGAAGTAAACGTAAAGTAGCCACTGTTTTTTTACAATTATTTAAAAATTCTAAACCGACTTTATGCTTATAATTATTTTTAATCAATCCAAATTAACCAAATATTCCAATCCGCACTTTCTCTCTTCAATAATTATCAGAATACGGTTGATTTCGTAAATGTTAAAACCAAAACACGGTTAGTCTACTTCCCTCACTTAATTTGTTCAAATTGTTACATGTGCCATCATGACGGCAGTAAGTTCTCCTGAAGTGCGAAAGCAACGACAACAATTAGCATATGCATTACAGGCACTCAAAGTATACAATCCAGACTTTGTCTTGACTCCTGAAGTACAAGAAATCATGCGTGCTTTTTTTGTAGATTTACAACCAGATGAACACGGAACTATCACGCGTGGTGCATTAGCAGATGAGATTGCGCGATTAGATCCAAGTATTGATACAAAACGATGTGTGCGACATGATATGATACTACGACGTGAAGAGCGTTTGGATTTTATTGCTTTTTGTGATTGGGTAATGCGTTGGAAGGTACAAAATCCGCAATCTGTACAAAATGTTTACACATCATGGGCAAGACAACTTGCAGCTTTGGATTTTGGCATGAGTGAAGGTGATAGTCTATTTTTAGATTTAAAACCGGAAGATGAACCATCCAATGAAATGCTTGCAATGGAAATTATACAATTATTGCAAATTCGACAAAAAAGCAAAAGTCTTACAGAGGTTGCACGAAGGTAGCAACCACGACAAGAGTCTCAAGTATGATGACAACTATGATGCATCTCTTACTAGTAATGGTATTCATCCAGTCGATACGTTTGAAATAGATACAGCAAAAATACACCATGTTGATAATGTCAACATAGTGAACAAGAGATCCTCCATGCAGACCGTGTCTAAATCATTTCTCGCAGGAGGAATGGCGGGTATTGTAGCCAAGTCAACGTTAGCACCATTGGATCGCGTCAAAATTTTATTCCAAGTCAATGACCAGCGAAAATTCAGTTTTCGCAATGCTGCTCGGATGGCTAAAAATATTTACGTTCATGATGGTTTCCATGCACTCTTTCGAGGCAATATGCTGAATATTCTGCGAGTAGTCCCTTATGCAGGACTGCAGCACGCAGGGTTTGATTTTTTTAGGCATAGATTCCATGCGTACAATTACCAGAATGCCGAAAAAGACGGGATTGATGAGGTGCCAAAACTTAGTAATTTACAGTTGGTGACGGCTGGGTCACTGGCAGGAGGAATCTCTTTGGTTTTAGCATACCCGCTGGATATTGTACGAGCGAGGTACATGGTACAAATGGGAAAGCATCGTTACACTAGTATCTACGACGCTGTCATGACAATGTACAAGGTAGATGGTGTACGGTCGTTTTCGCGCGGACTTGTGCCGTCCTTGTTAGGCACGCTGCCGTACACTGGAATCGGATTTTCGCTGAATGAACGATTTAAGATATGGGTACGTACGTGTACTACGAAAGTTTACGCTAACATTACATGTGACAAACGGACACTATGCCTGTAGACGCTTGAGTTTCAGAGTCGTCGATTGGAACAGAAATGTGGAATAAGTGCACCCGAGCCAAGTCTAAATGCGCTGACCAAGTTTGTGTGCTCGTACTTTGCGGCATGCATTGCACAAACGAGTACGTTGTTTGTCGCTAGAACGAAGTGCATCAATTGGAGTGGTAGATTTGGATGAACTTATTATTAATGCTGTCATTATTCTTGTAGTCACATATCCGCTGGACACCATTAGAAGGCGAATTCAAACGGACGGCTATGTCACGAAATCTCAGGCAAAACTGCAATACACTGGTGTGACTACTACTGCCCGAATCATTTTAGCACGTGAAGGCTGGCGGGGCCTGTTCAAGGGTGTGTCAGTGAATTGGATGCGAGTAAGTCCTAGCTACTGTTTGTGCTGTGCTGACGTGTGAAATGGCTACTTTAACACTTACTTGCACGTGCCTGTACAGAGCCCCGTATCAACCGGCATTAGCTTAACGACGTATGATGTATTGAAGGAGCTAATGGGAGTCGAAAAGATAGAGTAATAAATAGCATGGTTGTTTCTCGACGACACGCAAACGTTATTACTTTCACGCAATTAGCTTCGTAAAAAAGCTGCGCTGGAGCAACGCATTAAGCGGTGGGTCAAGTGTACGAAACTGAAATCGTAGAGCTTGCTGGCAATTACTATTGTCGTAGTATTTGCAGCAGCAATAAAGATGTATCTCGTCTTACCTGTGCATCACGTTTCAACGTTACTCAATTTCATGTGTTATTAATCAGTCGTCAACGTTGTGTCACTACATGCAAACGATAGAGCCCTTTACAAACGTATCGCCACACTATTTGCCATGACCACCTTTCCATTGTCCAAGTGCGTCACTAAATGTCCTTCTGCTACCAAATCCTATATTACTGTTTGTGTGTCCAACCATTCGATCAGACATTTCGCTTCAAGATGATCACACTAACTATCATGTTCCAAATTATGGTCAGAGGCACGTAACACAAAACAACAAGTTACTTCCGGGGCGCCGAGCGATAAAATGCCACGTCCGAGAAGGTCTCCATCCGCTATTTATTGCCGAATACAAGCATTTTTTGCACACGTCACATGAATGTCGGTTTATATCCACATGTAGCTCATCTCGCTAACTTCCGCATCATCAATTTGAATTTGTCGAGTTGCTTATTGGTTGCATTTTGGGAGCACTTGGCAACTAATGCATATCCACTTCAAGGTGCTCTTGAAGTGATCCGTACAATCACTCCTAATTTCGCGAACGCGATTGTCACCAGATAGGACTTCATTATCGTCAATCGTCTCATTCCTTGTCATCTTGCCGGCTTTCAAAGCATGCAGTCAGAAAAGCACTGATATTCTGCTCTCGCGGATAACTCGATACTGTATTGCTTCGTAACACTTCTAATAAGTCGATTGAAGCTGACATCGCGTCAAGTACGTGGCAATAGCTGCACTTGCCATTAGAATGGTCTCCATATAATTAACTGGATTCCAATGTCATCCTGAGAAGACGATAATATACAAAAGAGCAGTAATGCAACTGCGACGAGCGTAGCAAAAGACCATAAAGTATTCGCAAAGAATATAAACTCGTTACGCAACCAGCTCGTATCAACACAGAAGCGACATTTTGTCCATCGTTTCGTCACACGCACGTATCGTATTGTACAACGGCGATTAAAAAACAGTGATTGCCTTCATTGGGCCGATCAATTCCGCTCGTGCAGTCGAATCAAATACGTCATTCTCATTCATCATTCTAGCCGCGTCATTCTTTTCTGCTAGAGACAGCGCACGTCAACGTGAGCAGATGCGTACAAGCGAAGTTCATAATGCAATTCCTGTGGCTCATAAGTTGATGGAAGTACGATGTACCATCCTGGCGAATACCGTTCAGATGCTTTAGCCAAAACACCGCAAGGGGCACCGCTGACGTATACGCCGTACGCGGATGTGGCACCTGCAAACGCTGCTTTCGGGTTTGTGGAAAGTAACATATGACCTTCTGACGTGCTTTTGAACACGGACACGTTAATTGATGGAACAATGGTAGCGGCTTCTGTTTGAGACTCACCTAGTGAGCCATCAATTTCTGGTTCCAGTACTAACAAACGCGCCAACATATCGCACTCCTGGGACACGTGTACCAAATATTTTGGATTAAACGTATAGCAGCCATAATTGGAGCAGCCGGCCGCAGAACCAGTTCCAATGTCCCACTTGCCATGCAGCCGAGTAAGCTCCATACCGTGGCCTTCAGGAAGTAGTTGGCGATAAACGATACTCGCGCCCGAAGGTGAATCACTTGCGACTTTCAGCGTGTAGTTACCGGCAGTGCCTTGCTCAAAAGTAGATGGAATCAGCACAATGTCATGCAAGCCTGTAGCAAGGGAGGCATCAATCTCGATAAAACAAAAACCTGGCCGATACTCGCCAGAACTCAGTACCTTTAACAGCTCTTTGTTCTCTGATGGCGTGTACTCTGCAGCATGTAAATCACATACACGCTCACGTACGTGCAATGCAGCACGTAAGTTTATAGGAAAGCTGACATCCGTACTATCCTTGGAATAAAACGCATCAGTCGTGAGGAACAGAAAAATAGATCGACATTGTCCCTGTAACTGCAAATGAACCTGAGGGTTATCCATAAATGTTGAGTAATACGGACGACCACCAGCGCTGGCAGAATCCCAAGCGCCGGTGATCACGATTGACGTAGGTACTGTTGTCACCAACTGTGGAATAGGCTCACACGTGAACGGCCGCGTAGAAAAAACGGACAAAGTGTAGTCTATGGCTGCAAACTTTTCGTACTGCGAAGCCACGAGAGTGAAGGACAGCTCCGACTCGTGTGCGAAATCCAGATCCAAGCTTACGAGCGTGTGTGGATTGTTGCTATACGTTCCTCGCGACACTGCATTACGATTGTAATACACGCGCTTTCCAGGTTCACCTCGATAAACATGAAGCGTAAGAAACTGCTGATTTGAGCAATCTACGTTGCGGTCAATTGTACTCATATGCCGCGACAGCAAAACCCACACGGTGCAAGAACCAGATGGCGCAGTCATTCCTTCTGCAAGTAGCCCGTTCTTGATGAATGTCAGAGAGTACTGTGGGTTAAACCCGAGTGTGAGCGAATCGTTCGCAGGTCCAAGCTCCACGGGCCAGTGCTCATGGCACACACCTTTGTAAGGAAATAGCTCAGGGTTCCAGTTCATATATAGGCTCTCGAAGTACCGTTTTACTGACTCAAAGTCAATCCAAAACAATCCGTCATCTTGTCGCTCCTCCGTTTCACTTTCCTCAGCTGCGTAATACTGTCGCTGGTATGCGCGCAACTCCTCGCCAATAGCACTGTTCCATCGCGTTTTATCGTGGCGCGAAAAGGGACCTTTCCAACTCATCTTGTGCCAGGGATTTTTTAGCCTGAAGCAAACAAGTCTTTTTGCCATTCGAGTTTTGATCAGAGCTAGCAAGCTCATACACATTGAGAACAGCATAAACATGCATCGGCACAAGTCCAATTGCTTTGGCCTCTTGCTTGGAAACGTCTCCTGTGGATATTGTAATAATGCAGTCTCCGTAATGAAACGCGCTCTTCAATTGTTCCCAGAGTCTGTCTTCTTTGTTTGGTGCATCTAGAAGCTCAGTAATGGAAACTCGTTCCGGGATCCATCCTGTAAGAGCAAACAAGTCAATTCCAGAGTTGCCGCCAGGAAAGTCATACCCGCCGTTCAGTTTCAAGTAAGCCTTTTCAATAAGGCTCACCCAAAGTTCGTTCTTGTGCGTTGTACAGCTTGAAAGAAGTTGCCCTGAAGATGCATTGACAGGTAAAAAATCATCAATCACCACCTTTCGAGGTACACCGTTAGCCCACAACTTGACAACGTATTTTCCAAATGGATTGTATACTGGCTGCTTTGTCTGTAAATCTGCTGGAAAAATAATGTTTGTGATCAACCGCTTCTGAAATCTCTGTTCATAAGCTGCAGCAATACAAAGCGACGCTACGAATGAACAGTCCGTGACAATATCCTGCTTCACCACCAACGGGTTGACTCCTCCATGTGCTATCATCACCGGAGCATGGCCACACTTGACAGCATACTCGCTCGGCCGCATCCAGATCACATCCTTTTTTTGCTGCTTTACTGATAATGGCAGATACCCATCAGGATCATTATAAGGTGCTGGCAAACTAAACTTGTCCTGTGCATCTAAATCATTCAGCCACGGTACAAACAAATGTCCATTGATTTGCGATGACCTGCGCAACACATCAAGTTCCTGTGGTGTATACGCTGTCCTCACTTTCTCTTCCTTCTCCTTCTCCTTCTCCTTCTGCTTCTGCTTCGTCTCCTCTTTTGATAATAACGGTCGTGTACAACCAAATGTCGTATCAATAGACGTACATAATTGTGCTATATCTGTCTTTTTATTTTGCTGTAAATGTGGTGGTTCTGGCCATTGCAATGTCGTCTTGTCGACTTGATGATATTGTATCCTGATCTGATTCTGATTCTTAAGTTTCGATATATAGTCAATTACATACTCCAGTTGTTCCTTTACTGCTGCTTTAGCTCTTTTATCACTTGATGGCAATGCATTTAGTGCCTTCATGTAGCTTTCAGCTGTGGTAATATACCTGTCAATCACAATATCTACTTTTGCAGGTTCTACTTCCTCTTCTAATCGCTTGGCTATTGTATGTAATTCCATTGCTTGAGCCAAGAGAAAGTCACTTGTCTGCTGTAGCATCTGAATGCGCGTCTCGAGGTCATTAATCATTGGCTGCATTCGTAGACGCTGCGCTGCTGATTCAACAACTGATAGACGTTTAAGAATACACAGTCCTTTTTTAAACATTGACACGGACTGGACCATTTGACCTGCACGCTCTAGACTCTGCGCATGTTCAATTGCCTTCAGTGCCTCGGCATACTGCCGCTCTGCCATGGGGATGTTGAGAATGAAGGTCTTTAGTGCAACTGAAGGTAGTATGTAATTGGATAAAAAGAAAGCAGCAAAATGCTATAATATGAGTGGATGAAATTAAAAACAAAAACAACGATTCGCTAAAACTCATTGTGAGGCCAGTACCGACGTACATTCCTTTTCCAGCAGACATTCTAAGACTAAGACATACGTACGACGTATATCATGAGCAGTAAAGACAAAGCATGGAAACCTTTTGTGAAATTTGAGTATCAAAAATTGCTACCAACAGAGTTACGTAATAAGGTATATAATAACGCGTCTATTTCATCTCCAATATCTCAGTCATCAAGTGTCTTTTGTTTTCTCATATGTTAAATGTATGAATTGTTATTGTGATTCGCAGTTGCGCAAGTGGTTGGTGTTTACAGAGGCGACAGGTACTAAACAAGTTTACCAATCCCCTACGGTCTCGCAAGGTTATCGCTATCCATCACCTGATAAGCAAGCAGAGGGTGTCTTTGTACCTTCCAGTGACTCCAAGGACAGCATTTATAATATCAGTTATTACACACGCGATATTCGTCGCTTTCCGTATCCAATGGAAGTAGGTGTCCATCCATCTATTCCAGTGGAGAAACGTGCTGAAATACCAGCAGATGCAAAGCGTGGCTCACCTGGAAACAAGAATCCAGCTGTATTGAGTTACGATCCAACGGGCACACGCTCAGCCATGTCTACGACCCACGAAGCTCGTGATAAACTCATTATGCAGCATGTTTCCACGCACAATGTGCGTTTTGAATGGGAAGGTGATAGTGAGAAGGACATTGTGGAAGATAATGAGGCAAAGAATGTACCACCGACGCCTGGTCGTCCCTTTGTATGGGATTTTCCTACGCAGAGTCGCATTATGCGCTGGTAAATGTGACTAAAGGCAGAAAATGACAATAAGGAAAGAATGTTACTGACTACTGATTGGCTGAAATCTTGTAACCATGCCATATCGCATCTCTTTTGTTCGTAGCACGAGTCTGTGAGAATAATCATTTAATCAAACGCTTCTCCAGTCATAGATCGATCATGCAGTTCACTGTAATCGCCGAATTACCAACGCTACCCGCACCTGAGGTCGTAGCAAAGACTGACCAGTCCATTACACTGCGTGTGCAACATAAATTATCTCAAATGAATGGCAAGATGCAATATAAATTACAAGCGGTTAGTCATTATATCTCTGCAGAGTTTAGATGGAATTCTAATGTTTATTGATACATTTGTACTAATGTATTATTACAGAGTCATAGTGAATACGGATATGTTTACTATTCATGGCATTATTCAGGTCTTTTTACTGGTAATATATTTCCAGTGAAAGGTCTTACTCATAATACGGTACGACGTGAAAAAATTGTTTTTTCTTTTATATGACCGAACGATGGTTTTTTATCCAATTTATTACGCAAATCTTACAATAGAAATTTACAATGAAAAATAATCATTTCCTGATATGTATACATTGTATACGTAGACCTATGTATTCCGTATACGCGTGGTAAATGAAGCTACTCGGCAATGCGGTGAGTGGTCACTACCAACAATGAATGTACGTACATTTACAGAGGAAGAGGATGCCAAGCGTTCAGGGACTGTGTTTGAGCATGCTCTTAAACTAGAGCGTGAGCAAAAGAGCATTTTACAGAGTCAAATTTCCAAGCTTACTGGCATGCTCGAAGAGCGTAAAACAGCACGGGGGAGTGACAAGAAGGCTCAATTGCACGAGGATATGCTCGCTAGTCGTCGTGTTATTGATACGAGACTTGTGAAACTACAGCAGGAGCTGAGTGCTCAAACAGCAGCTTTGCAGACAATCAAGAGCCAACGCGCTGCTGATGAAGAGATGATCACTGAGTTACTAAATGAACAGGAGACACTGCGTCGTGCACAGAGCAAACAGCAGGGACAAGTGCAGTATGAGCTAGAGATGCAGACACTACGTGCACAATTGGAAAGGAACAATGAAGCACTATGTAAGCACAAGGAACAGGTAAATGCAAGTCAGGAGCAGATTATAAACTATGAAGCGTCGTTGGAGGCAAAGAAAAGTGAAATCTCGCAGAAGGAGGAGGAAGTGGAGAGGATAATGGCCGACTGCAATCGTATGGTGCAGGAGCAAGCCGATTTAGCTCACGTGAAGCAGCTGGAGGTTGAAGATGCTCTGCTGGAAGCCAAGACGTCGTTGGAGCAACAGCTTGATATTAACACGTATTTGCGCGAAGAGGTCTCGCGTTTGCGTGAGGAGAATCATCACCTGAAGAATCAAATTGAAGAAGTAGACTCGGAAATTGTGCCCAAGCTGGTCCGCCTCGAGGATGAAAACGAACAGCTGCGTGCTCAGCTTAGTCGACACTAAAGTGTCGAGATTCATGGTGCACCATGCAGGTATTTGCATTGCAAAGTGGTTTATTCTTTGGGCTTTGTAGGTGAGTAGTATCCCTACTACCTTCGTAGTGCTTCGTCAGCATTACTTTACTCTTATCTATACATATCAGTTAAATAGCTTGATTCCTTTGCTTCACTCAAACTTCCTTGCTTCGTATGCAGTCGTGTCACTTCATATTGCTTCTTAGAATCCGTGGTCTTCGTCGTCCTCGTCAAAGCCGCTAAGTGTGAAAGCGTCAGCGGCACCTAACGGTGGTAATCTTGATGGAGGAGAGCTTACCGAAAGAGCTGGAGACGGTTTAAACATGGTACGTGAAGGCAGCATGCGTTTTACTGATGTGCGGCCTTCATCGCCAAAGCCTTCACCGTCGTACGACGAACTTGCCGACATGTTGCAAGACCGACTGAGATTGTCCATGTAGCCATCAGCGTAATAAGAAGAGTTTACGGAACATGTTTGATTTGTCACGCTTCCAGCCATGTTAGCGTCCTCTTGTACCAGATCCTCATCTTCTTCACTGTCTTTTTCTTCTTCTTCTTCTGCGTCCTCGTGCATTTGCCGAACAGTGGCCTTTACAGACTCCAACAACTCGCAGTTTTCACTCGATGTCGGGTCAGCGTGTTTCCAATATAAGTACAACGGCCCAACATATCGAAAAGATCGGCGCAAAAGATATGGATCGAATGGAAAGAAAGTCTCAAGAGGTTGCCGTTGACTAAGCAAAGTGGAAGAAGAAGCCGATCCCGCTGTAGGCTTTTTTGAGCGTTCCATTGACTTAGCCGTTTTAGTACTAGACGCAGAGACTGCACCAATAGCCAGATCCACACATTCGAGACATTCCTCTGACACCAAATCGAACGCCTCCACCAGATTCAAGAACTCGGTGGCCACCGTTTGCTGGCAATATGCCAGTGGACAGTAGCCGCTACTAGTGACAATAAGTCGCTCCCAGCCAAGGCTACGCAAAAATTCGTAGCCAGCACCATCGTCGCTGGTGGCAATCTCCAATCCTCGGAAGCACATCATGTAGCACACAGTCTGCAGAGAGGAAATGTATATGCTCTCCTGAAAGCTGCGTCCTTTTGTGTTCTCCAAACTTGCAACCCCCTCCAGCAGCCGCTCTTCTCTTTCAGCAGCGGTTTCGCCAACCCTACCGTTCTCTTGTTCTTGCTGTTCCTGATGCACTGCATCGTAGATGTCCATCTGGTCATGCAGCCACTTCAGCAGGTGATACAGAGCCTTCTGAAGATACGCAACAGAAATGTACTTGGCGCGAGCGAGAAAACTAGCCAAGTAGGCGCCACAGCTCTGACGTGTGGTCGGTGGTGTCTGTGGGTCTAGTGACGAGGCCAACAGTTGAGAAATGAAAACGTCCTGAAACTGGGAATCCAAGCAGCACACGTAAAATAGCAAAAATTGCGGGTACTTAGACCGATGAGTGTTAAGGATAGAATGCTCAAACACTTTAAGTAGATCCTTGAAAACAAGTGCGGCTTGGCGCACGTCCACATTCTTCCCACTGTAGCTATCTTTAGTAGTTGCTGCCATCTTAGAGGACGTGATTGGATTCAATGCAGCAGACTGCTCAATGTGCTCAAACATCACAAGCATCATTTGATCAAGCTTTTCTGCCATTTCGTCCACTTGACACGAGGCATCATCAGGTGGCAGCAAATCATCATTCAGAAAATCGTCCATTGTGAAGACGTCTTCTTCACTCTCGTCCAATTTAATCTCCACATCAATCGCCACTAACTGGTCGACCACTAGCCCGAGCACACGCTCACGAAGTCCTCCAACATAACTCGTCACGTGCAAGATATTCCGTAGATATCCCACCTGAGTGATTGCGTCCATTCGTTTGTGCGGAAAGTGTTCACACAAGACAGGAAACAGCACATTTGTTGCAGTAGGCACCAACGTAAGTACACGCTCGAGTGTGCGATGTGCTATTTCAAATCGCGCCTGGATACGAACGTCCAGACTTGCCCCAGTTTGTCTTTCCTGTCCCGTCTCAACAGCAGACATCAACACAACACTATTAAAAGAGCCGCCTTCTGTCGTAGCCAGGTTGACTGCAGCTTTCTTGACCTCTTGTTGTTGTTTCTTCTGCTCTGTCGCTGCAAGAGCTCGCAACTCAAAGGATGATAGTTCCTTATCCTGTGGACGACGCATGTTGCGTACAAGCATGTGTAGAGTTGGTACAACGTAGACGGTATTAGAAGACACCAAGTGAACAATAAAGCTCAAATAGTCTTCCATTTCGTCTGGATCATCCGTAGCCAGTAGATTAAATTTAAACAGAATATCCAGTAATGCTTCATACGCCCTTGGTTCTCGTGATATGGTAGAGATACAGCGTGGTAAAGCACGAAAAATCTTACGACGTGTAGCAACTGGTGCCGGTAATAGCGTCAACTGCTGAATTAAATACTGATAGCTCTTGGCATTCCCCTAATAAAAGCGAAATTGTATCAGGTGTTTGTATATACGAATAAAAGAAGCTGTAAAATAAAGCATTTTTTTGACCTTAACAAGTAACGCTAATGCATTTTCAATGAATCGATGCATACTTGTAATCTCTTCTTCCGTTGGTGTCACTGCCATGGGCATCGTCGAAGGCAAGAACGTCTCACTTCCAGCCATTTCTTACACGCCAAGAAATTATGTTTGTCACCTTTTATTAGAATATGCTATCATGTATTTTAAAGGGACTTTAATCTCTATTTTAAAGACCTTTTGCATTAGAGATCTTTATTCAAGCCGTGACTTTATAATATCCTTGGCATACTGTATCCTGGACTCTAGTGACTGATGCTACGGCTTGTTCTTTTATGTGTGAGTGATGATGATCCTGGAGCATCAAACCATACACCAAATGGATATTCCGACGCTCCTTTAGGTGGTAATACATTAGGAGGACCCACACTATTGAGAATACTGCACATGATTGATACATCTAGACCATACTTGTCTGCCAATACTTGGGGTGTCCAACTTTCAGGATTTTCATAATACAGACGCAACAACGTTCTCAACTCTCTTGCTGTTAGTCGACCTTGAATGTTCTCTTCATTAGCGCCTCCGATACCAGTCGAGGATGCAGCAGTTGTCTTGTCAGTCGGAAGACGAAGAGGCTGCGACGACCTTGGACGATAACTACTAGCAGTTGCCTCAAAGGCTCGCATATTCTCCTTAAGATATTTCACGTGTTCAAAGTCGTTAATCTTCTCGACATGTTGCAGCATTTGCTGTGGCATCTCCACAAGTTTTAGCTTGGAATCAGATATATCAATCGATACTGACAAGGGTTTCGTGGCCGTAGATGAAGCTGAAGTAGGGACAATAGAACGTGATATGGCCATCAAATGCTCAAGAGAGACATTTGTACGTATTACTCGAGGGGGACGAGAGACAGAAGCTAGAGATAATGACGACGACGTCTTGCTTACGGCTGCACCCATCTAGAACAACACAAAATAGAGAAATAGAGGAATAGAGGAATAGAGGAATAAAGAGGGTAGATAGAGATATCGGAATTAGACGGAATTCTACTTCGGGTTTTGTGTTATCAATTATATTGATATAGTGCATAACATGACTGTTACAAACATTCGACATGCATCATTTCTCTGCTCTTTGAGTCATCCTTCACTGTAGATCAATCCTATTTGATCATCAAGTCGTGCAATGCCAATGAGATATTTCCCTTCAATTTGAAGAGGTGATCGGTCTTGCGTTCATTTGTTGAAATGTCGTATCGACCATCACTCATTGGTCTTTTCCCGCTGTCGTGGGCTGCTACATGGAGAAAACACAAGATCGTCACACGCGCCAATCCAATTTGTCCAGTGTCTTCAAGCGATCAGCGATCATTTCGTGCAGATTGTGCAGTAGCTACTACCTTTCAATGCCGGTCTGGTTGTCCAGCAACAGTCGCGTCTTTTTTTCTTTTCTGGGCACCATCAGATAGCCATGAAGCCTTGTTCGGTGTGTCTTCCAAGATGTTCAACGCACGCATCTTTAAGGAGTAAGAAATGGGTCCGACGTACACTTCTGCTGCTGCTCCTCATCTCTCATCAAAGTGGCAGCAAAACCTGGAGGTGGGCGGGTTGGAATTCGTGGAGGCGATGGGCTCTGCACCTCAGCCTGGCTCGCTGGTGTAGAGGTGCCTAAGAACACACTCAAGCTCGAAGTCCTCTGCTGGTACAGAGCCGATTCACGCTCTACAGCTGCCAAATCAGCCATGGGTGCAAAATATTGGCTTTCTTCAACGCGGTTGCTCAAGCCATGGCTCTGTGCATCATTATTTCTTCCAGAGGTGGCTGAAGGCATCATAAATTCCGTGTTTAGGCTACTGAATGGCAAACCCAAACCTAAGCCCAGACTTCCCCCTAGTATGCTGCCGTTGCCGTTAGTATCGCTGCTCTTGATGCTGTTTCCCCACCCTGTCAGATAGGTCTCACTTGAAAAGCTACCACCATCGTTAAATGTGTTAAAGCTAGGGTAGCCAAGTGATGAACCAAACGAACCATGGCCAGTGCCAAACGCACTACTCTTGCTGCTAACGCTTGCGTCGCTTGCAGGGCCCTTGTCGTCTGCTCGTGAGATTGGACTCGGGGCTCGGAGGCTAAATGTACAATCACCAGACAAAGCATCCAACGGAGAAGGCGCACTTGTTGCATAGTCAAGAAGTTGTTTGCTTGAGTGGTCTCCTGACATTTCTCTTAACACTGGCGACGGTCTAAACACGATCACCTCGTCTTCAAAATCGTCGTCCTCGTCCACGCCAGAGCCAGCTTGGCAACCGTTGCCAATAGCTTCCTGTACTTCTGTATGCTGCTGTTTAACGTTGTCGGTCGACAAAAATCCCAGGTTCAGTAAATCCAATGCACTCGGCGTCTCATTTTCTTGCTGAAGATCTCCTTTTCCGGCCAATGGTGACGTCGTAAATTGTCCCGATGCATTATAGAAAAGCAACGGGTTTCCCTCGTAGCCGTCGCACAAATAATGCGCGAAGTGGTACAATCTCCATGCACGAATTTTGGCTGCTTTATCATCCAACAAGGGCGTCACTTGTGAGGCACCGTTTGCTTCAGAGGTCGATGTTTGCAGCGCCCATTCATACTGCGACGTTAAAGCAGCACCATGTTCCTCAAGCGGTGCAAATCCTCGAAGCTCAAGGTTCTCCTTTAGCAGATGCTGTTGTTCACGAACAGCAAAAAGGCAGACCGTCTTCTTCACGCTGGTCAGCACTTGAAAGCAATGGAGCATACAATTCGTAAATGCGTGCATGGTTCACAAATTTAGCCAAAGTTGCAAGGAAAACGGATGCAAAGTGGTCCGCGGTTGCTCCTTGGTTATTCGTTGCCACATCGCTATAAAGTTTCTTCGGGCAATGTACAAAAAGCTGCTCCAGTTGTTCCAGCATATTTAGATGCAGTTCCAAATAGCGACAGAAGATTGCCACGGGTCCTGAAAGTCGAAGTGCCGAAGTGTTCGACAATTTATCACTTGCACCAGAGTTCGGCTTGCTGTCCAAGCTATCCAGAAGAAACTCCAGAACACAGGTGATCGTACGAATCGAAAGACGAAGAGCATCCTCGATTGGTGCAAATTGGGAGCGCGAGTCCGAGGCTCGAATGATGCAAAAAGATGTTCGTAACCACAACTTTCAGCAGCAACGCATCTCCAACCACACCTGCATGCAGAAGCGTCCGCATATCCTTGAACAAAACTGCCTCCATATCACGCGGATACATTGGCACCGTCTTTTGATTGCTGGTACCGCTAGCTGACGAAGCTGTGGGGGATCCGCGAGGCGAAGAGAGAGCAAACAAGATGCCATGCATTCGCGTAAGTCGGTGCAAGTAGCTCTTCAAGAGCGCCGACTTTTCCTTTGCAGACGGAGTCGACGTAGTAAACGTAATAGGTGCAGCCAATGGACGCTGACGGCTGCGCTCAAAGAGCAATGCGAGGTTTTCCTCTGCTGTTGTAAAAGGCTGCGATGTTAGCAGACTCCTACAGTAGTGATACACTGCCACGGTCTCTGCCTCGACATATGTCGCCAATACTGCCAATTGATTGTGCGGATTACCGTTTTCCGGTAGTACCGCCAATGCACGATGGTACAGCGCCTCAGCCGCTGCAAAATTCTTCTTAGCCTTCTGACTGTGCAGTTCACGGTATCGTGCCAAGTCTCCCTAAAAACACATAGCAACGGTGTAAGCTATGGCGACAGCATACGATGTCAGAGGCCGCAGCGTCGCTACTATTCGTAGGAGCCGCTCCAAGCTGATTTTGCTGTAGCCACGAAGCAAATACATCTCTTAAGTGTACGTAAAAGCCTGATGCTTCCGTTAAAAACTGCTGAAACTCGCTTGATACACGTGCAAAATGCTCGCGTACGTTCCGGTCCGTCTGTGCTGCTGCCGCGTATTTGCGAATACGACGGCGAAAGTCTTCAATACGACGATAGAAACACGGTTTCCAAAGTGCCAATTCAACTTCCTTTGATGCTGCAAAGGTTGTATGAATGTCCACTAGACGCAAAGCAGCATCCATGAGTCGACGACGTAAGACATTCGCGTCTTGAGTGTTGAGTGGATTGGCACGTAATAAATCCCGTAATTTCTTGTCAAGTGTCACCATTTCCCTATTCAAAATAGCACGTTATGATACATAAAAAGACAGTAGAAATAGAGTAAAGGAGAATCATTTACATGTAGGCACGACGCGAGTCCATGGTGCTTAGTGGCCTTAATGCCGACGCTGGTTTGGTTGACGAGTTTGTTACAACCGAAACCATTTAGAAACGTTTCTACCGTTAATGTTACGTTTCACTTAAGTACGTCACGATTTTGGCAAATAATCGTATTCAATATATCTGTATATCAGTTTTGCTCGATTATCGGATAATCTTTGATCGAATGCTTCATTCAGGCTATGTAACGGGATTATATGAAGGTGTGTATTGTACATACACACCTGCCGGTGTGGTGTACCTTGGGTACAAAAGTAGGTGATGTGACCGTACATAAGGTACGAAGGGTCGCATCGTGGCAGAAAGCCACGTGGTCACTGTACTTATTTAAAGTATAGTGACTATGTATGGTTGCATAATAATAACAGGCTATAGAGCCAGTAAATAGTGACAAGCACAAGTATAGAGTAGGTGCTTCTATATTTAGTGTTAGAAGATAAACATAAATATAAATCGGTTTCAAACCTGCTCTATAAGCATCACTGCTTGAGCGTTCCATTCCTCCTGAGGAATTTGTATCTTTGATACTCGTCTATGTCGATTGGGCTAAGGGTCTTTGTTCAGGTTATAATAAATGCAAACTTGGGCTCACATCTTACAGCCTAGCCTATCTTACCACCATTCATCACACAAAACGCTGTAGCGTAATTCCTCGCGCTGTCTATCGCTGTTGATTACACATGCGTGGCCACAGCCAATGCTTTGATACTGTCGTAGCCGTTTGTCTGCGTCGAGGAAACACTTACGTAGCCTGTGACCGAGCTACTTTAGCCACGCTAGTTATGCACTATGTGCAGAGGATGTAGCCGAGCTACTGTAGCAAAGCTACTTATGCACTATATGCAGAGGAAGACAAGCTCAGAGAGCTTCTACGTCTTAGGGTGCTTAACCTTTCCTAGGCTAGCTCGTAAGCTTGTGCCTATCGGTTGTTATAACCGCGTCTCAAAGAGACTAGGGCTCGGCGCGCACAATTGTGTGGGCCTGAATTGTCCTGAGGTATAGAAACTATTTCAAGAATTACAGAGTACCAAGGAACAAACTGTTCATGTTAAGGCAGGAACTTTGATGCCATAGACTTGAAAGACATCTTCTTATAGTTGTGCCTATCGATAAGCAAGTGCAGTGAGCAACTTGTGTCAAATCATCTGCTAGACAACTTCTAGTAGGCGTATTACTAGTATAACATTGCACAGTTTGATGATACCCAAAGTCGCCGTGTGCTACTTATTTGGGTTAACTAGCTATCGACAATATATCGCGTATATGGGCTCAACGGCTGTATTGCAGAGGATATATTGGCGCCCTATCACAGTCCTGAGTGTGCCTCAACCCGCTTGAGCCCGGGTGGGCCTATTTTGCAGCGAAGCTACAAGTCGCATTCGCAACATTGCAACTCGATTGCATTCTGCTATTATCCATGCTTTATGACAATGTGAACTATAATGTCAGATACTTGACTGACGGCCTTTAATAGTTGTGCCCACCGATAAGCAAGTGCAGAGAGCAATTTGTGTCAAATCACCTGCTAGACACTCATTTAGTAGACGTTTCACTAGTATAATTGCACAGTTTGATGATACCCAAAGTCAACGTGTGTAACTTAAAATTGTAACGGGGTCGTAGCGTTACACGCCATATCAAGTACGATATGCTCGTTATTCTGCATAATTAGGTAGACAACATTGAGAATGTTTACATTTATAAGGAAAAGGATGAGATACGAATAGCGTATCTTTTAGTGTCATTATTTGATTGGTTGAAAGTGGGGCTTAGCCTTGTTTCACTTAATTAATATTTGACGCGTATTTGGTTGGTTCACAGAAGGTTTAGAACCTTAGATTAAGCCTTTATAATAAAACAAAGTTTCAAATAGTCTTTAGTACGCAAGTAAATTGCATACTTTTACGCTTCCTCGTAAGCCCTGTGGTGTAAGCTACGTAACGGATCTCTCACCCCGTTACACTTGGAAGCACTTCGTAGTCCTTCCAACGCGATGGATGACGACATGCTCCTCGAACCTGTCATGGAGACACTGGAACACGGTTCGTTTACCCACCTCACGCTAGTGGAGTGGGAAGGCCTTCACAGCTTCGCAGCGGTGTCTGGCCAAGTTGTTGTTACGACGCTGCTGAACGCAGCGTCACCGAGCCAGCAACGTGATGCCGTCCAAGCATTCATGGTACGCGAGCTGCCGACTCGATTCGGCGACCTCGCGTTCTCCAAAAATTGGAGCGGTCACAATGAAGACGTCCCTCTACTCGGGTGCGGGTACAGATCGTCTCCCACACAATCTTTGTTCTAGGTGGATCGATATCGCTATCGCCCCAAGACTTATCGAGGTGATGTCATCGAAGGCTAACTTACTCCTCTCACGACTGACTGGTAAGGCAAAGAGTGCGCTTTGGGAAAGCTTATAGTCGACCAGTACGCCTTTCCACTGTGGACGCGCTCCAGAGTGACCTGCGACTAGCTTTTGAGCCACCACAAGACGAGTCGCGCCTACGCATCGAGCTCTTAAATCTTAAACAAGGCAAGATATCCATGCGCGACTACGTTCAATGAACACGGCATCTGGCTTCGTGCATCATCACAAAGCCGATCGATATGGCGTCTCAAGTTCACGTCTTTGTTTCAGGCATGCGCGAAGGCATGACGAGATACTGCCTTACGCGCGCCGAACCTCCTTCTTTTGAAGAGGCTTTCGTTCTTGCGCTTTGCAAAGGCTATGTCGTGGCTTCTTCATACGCCAAGACCTTGATGACAGACGCCCGTGCATCGGCTCCTGAGCCAATGATAATCGACGCAGTAGAAATCATCGAGGGCTCGACGCTCAATGCCTCCGCGTAGTAGTGGTGTTCGTTCGGAACGTCTCTTGGTGTGTTTCCGTTGTCGCAAACCGGGTCATCGCGTGGCGGTGTGCCGCGAGCCATCTCGCGTTCTCGCCGCTGTCAAATCCGGAAAACATGTCGATCCGCCTTTGAAGTCAAAAAAACGGCGGCGACCAGTAGGCGCAAGGCGCCCTACTGGGCGAATTGGAAGAAACGTACCCCCGGTGTTGACTCCTTCTTCGATCCCCGCTGCGCTCCATGCGCAGCTTAATGCCAGACATGGCAAGCGACTGATTATACTCAGTGTGTATGTCGACGGCGCCAGTCGACTCCTTCATGCTTTGCTGATTTCAGACGCGACGAATAACTTTATTCGCACTGAAAGTTTGAAGATGCTCTCCTCGCGGCTGTGTGTCCGCGAGCAATCGGGAGAGATGACCGTCTGTATGCTGACGGCAAGCCACGCAAGCTGCGACAGCATTCGGTGGTTGTGCCGTATCAATTTGACGGCTTTGTGAGCAGTGATGAATTCCTGGTAATTGACCTTAGTGGATGATTCGACTGTAGTTTTGGGATGCCGTGGCTTGCACGGCATCATTCGGACATCGATTGGCTGAATCGCACGGTTCCGCCACGTGATATCGATGTCACCGCGGTTCTCGCCCACCTCTCCAGGTCGGCAAAACATGGCCGCACGCGCCGTCGTGGACCCATACTCCACGATATACACCTCCAGAAAAAGAGCGATGTCCCTTTGTGCCCGGTGTGCAACCACGCAACTTGCGACCCTCAGTTGAACAGTGGTTCCTGAGTCAAGAAACCGCACCGACACAGTGGCGTTCGGTGCGTAATGAGCAAGCAGTGGCTCCAACGCGTTCTGGTCAGCAGTGGCCTCCGTTCGCCCTGATGAAACACCAGCGCAGTGGCGCTCGGTGTCCGAGATTAGGTCGAACAGATTTTTTTGAGTCGAGTGTAGTTGTGGTCGAGCAGGGGCTCCCACAATTCAAGCCTAATGCGACACCCCGGCGGTCAACGTCTCAGCGCCGTCGAGAGCGACGCGCGCGTTCAAGTTCCCCACAGCAAGCGCGATTTGCCACGCCTGCTTCAGCATTCAAAACGATTAGCGTGATGAAATTGACTGGTACAGGTCCCAGCAGTCATTTGCTCCAAGTCACAAGTCCACCTTGCGACGCATATGGCATCACGCAGCTACCGGAAGTGTCTTGGATGAGATACTGCGTGATCTTAAGAGGTGGGAGATCCAACAACTATGTGTTGTTGTCGACGAGACGACGCTCGCTAACCACGATCGGCCTGAAGGGATGGAGACAAAGTCAGCACGCGAAGAGCGCTTTGCGGTGCAGTCATGCAATGAGCTCGCGTCCACAAATAATCCGGTTATCAAACTGGCAAGAGAGTTTGCTGATGTTTTCCCGGAAAAGGTTCCAGCAGTCCTGCCTGCTGACCGTGGTGTACGGCAAGAGATCGATCTCGTGTCAGATTATAAATATTGTGTTACGCGGCAGTGGCCGCTTCTCCGTGACCAAGTTGATGCAATTGACACCTTCTTTAAAGGACGAAGACAGGCCGGTCACGTCTGTGAGAGTGTCTCTCCACACTCGAGTCCCAACTTCTGTGTTAAGAAAACTACCGGAGGTGGCGGATTGCTCACGCCTTTAGCAAGCTGAACGATGCTGATCCCTGCACAGACCCCGATTCCGCGGAAGGACATGGTTTTGGAAACCATGGCGGGCAGCACGATCTTTTCTACTCTGGATTTGACGGACGGATTTTATCAAATCCTCATGCGTCCAAAGGACATGTCCCTAACAGCGGTTAGTAGTACACCCAGCATAATGCTCTGGGAATGGCTCGTAATGCCGCAAGGGCTTTAGAACGCCCCTGCTACCTTCAATCGTATGGTCTCGCATATTCTGTGGCCATTTCGAGACTTCGCGCCTAGCTATTTCGACGATATATTCGTACACAGCCGCGCCGCTGAAGGCGCGACGGACCTTGACGTTCATTTGGGTCACCTCCGTAAGGTATTCAAAGCTATGCGTGCAAATAATCTGTACGCGAACCTGAAGAAGTGTATCTTCTGAGCTCTAGAGATCCCTGTGCTAGGTTCCTACGTTAGCGCAAAAGGTGTTCGCGCTGACTTCAGAAAGGTCGCGTTAATCTGCGCGTGGCCGGAGCCAACGAACCCGAAGCAAT